GGGCCAGAGAACAAGCTACTAAAATTATAAGCCGTTGGGATAACCAATCAACACAAAGGAACACAGACCACAACGTAACAAGGATCACAAACGGACTACTAGATTCACTAGACAAGGAAGAAGTACCCACCCAACTGCGCACTGATGATGTCTCCTCGTATGGTGACGAAACGTTTGCAAGCCAACTGCCAAGCTCGGCGAACAGATCAACAACCAATGATTTCGTCTGGCATCGTGGTTGATCTCTCTAGAGAGGAATCACTCACACAAACAATATGGAGATGCCCATAGATCAATAAAAAGTCTATGGTTCAGCGACAACGGATGAAAAATTTTGCAGAAGTGAGTAGACGAAATAGAAACGTACCGCCTCGATCTCCTCATGTGACACAGAGTACTTGGATGCGCAGCCCCAGTTATATGGCGCCTCGGGGTCATCATCTCCATTCCCTCCTGTTAAAGTATCTTCAGGGTCAGCATCCCAAGGATAGACAGGTGGATCCCATCGCGTTTGACGTGTTCGCACGTGGTAGTAGTAGTAAGCATACAGACCGTCGGTGTCGTCACCTCCACTACCATTATCTAAGCCGGAAGGGTTTTGTTGTTTCACGTTCGGAGCTCGTTGCCAGCCCGGGGGGAGCGGGCTTGTACCATCCTTCGACAAGTGCAAATGCAACGCAGGTAATGGCTGCCGGTTGTCCTGTTCCATGCGTTTGCGCAACTGTCTACGCATTTGCGCGTAGCGGTTCTAGGTGAAGAAACGAGACAAAACACGGCCAACGATTATCCAGAACCAGCCTGGTGGAATCCTTACTTGCCCTGATTACATCCAAAAACACGCATTTGGAGAAAGTGGAGATTGAATTACGTTCCCCATAGTTTGTACCACGTATACTTGAGCCCTGCAGTTGTACTTGGTGAGAGGATGATAGAACTTTGTTTCGGGCTGTATCCGACAACGAAAAAGTGCCATATAGTACTACACGGGAAAAAGCCGCTGGATGGTTCGTACCATTCCAGTTGACGAGAACTGTGTAGTGTTGAAGGTCAATAAGAGTGAGTGTGCCCGCATATGTTAGTTGCCATTACACATTAATTAAAAGCCTAAGAACCTAGATCCATGCAAATATGTGGTGAAGGTATACGAACGGTAATTAGCAGAAATTACAGCAAAAATGTCACAGTAGGGACAAATGTAGTAAGATTAGGTGGAAGCATGTACGATAATCAAGTAAAGGGCAATATTAACCTCGTGAAGTTTGGTTTGAGTAGTTTAATGTAACCACAAGAACCAGCAAATAGGACAGTCAAGAACAGCTAAATCGAACCAACAAGTTGGTCGATGATAAAAAACTGTGTTGGTACATGCTACGAGTCCAATGTTGGCAGCATGCGTAGAAATGGATATGATCTGGGTGATTAGCAGATCTGTTCAGAATACTGAGCATATGTGACCCGACATAGAATGTTCATCAAAAATGAGCATGATCGCCAAGCCGGGAGTAATTCGATTCGATCAAACACTTCGGCGAAGTTGAACTAAATTCTGCAGAGGTATTCTGTCCTACAGGTTACTGATGGGCTTGTGGTACCGACTAACGTAGGAGAGAGACATCAATAGCGATGCGAAAGTTAACGGCATTCCAAACTTGAAAGCAAATCTATACAGGAACATTCCGCATATTTGAAAATACCAAGATGAACGGTCGTTTTACCAAAGAAGCGGGTGTATTGAGGGCTTAGGAACCTAGGGAGGTAGGAATACATAACGTGGAAAAAGGTATCAGTTCCACAGCAACAGGTGTATAGCGGCCACCTAATCAGTAAGTTAGGGGTTTCATCCACTAAATATGATATATGTGCTCAAACTCCATCAACTACGCCGAGAAACCCAAATAAATTCGACCAACACTAAGAAGATATACATCAACACAGCTAATAGCACAGTTCACCTCTTTAAAGGATACCGCCTGTAGGGACTGACCACAGTTTGGCTTCCGAGATGTGATTACTCATGTGGGGTGGAAACATGGTTCAGAGGATCGCCCAAAGATGGTCTCTAAAGTATGTGGTCCATCCGAAGGCCAGTTAAGAGAAAAGTATTTGGGCAAGCGGTCAAGAAGCAAAGTCCGTGAAGCCAAGCGTCGCAGTTTGAACAACAATACACAAAGCTGACAGGCTTACTTTGGATGCCTTGTTTGCTTCACGTCCTTCTGAACTCGGACTGACAGGTGAGGTGTGTGCCGAAGATGC